ATTCTCTCAGCTTTTGCTTATGTGGAAATTGTTTAATCCCTCCTTCAAATTTAAATGATAATCTTGCCGGATAAAGGAATCTTGGTTCAAGGCCCTTCTGCTTCATTGCATTAAATACATCATGCCACTCCCTTCTGGCCTGTAAGGTTTCTGCTGAGAAGTCTGATGTTAGCCTGATGGACTTTCCTTTGTATGTGATCTTATTTCTCTCTCTGGCTGCTTTTAACAGTCTGTCCTTATCCTTGATCTTTGCCATCTTGATTACTATATGTCTTGGTGTTGTCTTCCTTGGGTCCCTTGTGTTGGGAGATCTGTGCATCTCCATGGCCTGAGAGACTATCTCCTTCCCCTGATTGGGGAAGTTTTCAGCAATTACCTCCTCAAAGATACTTTCTATCCCTTTTTCTCTCTCTTCTTCTTCTGGTACCCCTATGATGTGAATATTGTTCCGTTTGGATTGGTCACACAGTTCTCTCAATATTCTTTCATTCTTAGAGATCCTTTTTTCTCTCTGTGCCTCAGCTTCTTTGTATTCCTCTTCTCTAGTTTCTATTTCATTTATTGTCTCCTCCACTGTATCTAATCTGCTTTTAATACCCTCCATTGTGCTCTTCAACGATTGGATCTCTGACCGGAATTCATTTCTGAGTTCTTGAATATCTTTCCATACCTCCGTGAGCATGTTAATGATTTTTATTTTGAACTCCCTTTCGAGAAGAGTCATGAAGCCCATGTCATCTTTCTCAGGAGTTACATTAATTTTACTCTGTACCAGGTTCCTTTGGTGTTTCATATTTGTGTATGGCGCCCTCTAGTGTCCAGAAGCTCTACTGTCTGGAGCTGCTCATTCCCTGAAGCAATGACGGGTGTCGCAAGGGAGCGGTATTGGTGCCTGGGGGGAGCAAAGAGCTCTTTGCTACTTTCTGGCTGCTATGCCTGTCTCCACTGCCTGAACCAGTGGGCCGATCACACAGGTATAAAACTCTATGCTTTGCATTTGTAGTTGCTGAGGACAGATCTTCCCTCTGGCTGGCCTAACGCCAGGGTAGGGTTTGTGGTTTGCAAGCCAGTTGGGGCTGGCTGGGAGAAAGGCGCAGTAGGCTGCGTGTCACGGAGGGGGTCCTTGGAGCTGTGTAGCCAGCCAGGGAGCTGGAGCACCTGGAAATCATGAAAGCTCCCACCCTGCTGGGCAGAGTGCACCCGGACAATTTTGTCTACCTGTCCTTTCTCCTGAGCAGTAAGCTCTGTGCAATCCTTGCCCCTTTTAGCAGCCCTCTTGCTAAGGGCTTCCTTGTTAGGAAGTCTCTTAGACTGCCTGCCTTTCTTTTGTCCCAGAGCAGCCGGATATGGATCCCTGCTTTCCACAAGCAGCTGGAATCTCAGTCTCTCCAGGAATTCTGCCTGTCTTGGCTTTCCAACTCCGTAATCACGAAAGCACCGTGAAATGTAGGTTTGTGCTCCTAGAGCAGATCTCCAGAACTAGGTATTCAGCCGTCCCAAGCCTTCCACTCCCTCCCTGCTCCGTTTCTCTTCCTCCCACCAGTGAGCTGGGGTGGGTGAGGGGCTCGGGTCCCGCCAGGCCACAGCTTTGGTACGTTACCCTGTTCTATGAGGTCTGTTCTTTTCCCCAGGTGTATGCAGTCTGGTGCAGTCCTTCCTGATGCTCTTTCAGGATTAGTTGTTATTAATTATATTTTCGTATTATATGTGGTTTTAGGAGGAAGCCTCTGTCTCACCTCTCATGCCACCATCTTTAATCCTCTTCTGTACCACTAGGAGATTTCACTCAAGCTGCCTGAGTGGAGCCCATGACACAGTCGGGATGATGCTCACATGCAGGCAGCCGAGACTACTACCTTTGCTCAGAAATTGCCCCACCCCCTGAGGGCTCAGGCTCCAGAGGAGAAAGATACTTCTATTTACAGAAAGGCAGTTGGTGCTGGGAGAATATGGGATCCTGTCCCCTTTAGCAAGGGAATTGAGGTGGATACATAGAAATGCCAGATGACCCAAAGGGCAGGTAGAAATTTGATGATTTAGTAATGAGGTAGTTCACCTGGCAGCGTGGGTACACTGCAGAGTGGAGAAGAGGCTGGGACCAAGTCACCAAGAGCCAGGTGTGTGCCAGGTTAAGGAATTTAAGCTAAATCCAGAGAGTACCAGAAATGACTCAAGTGTCTCAATAGGAGACTGGCAGTGTCCAGGAGGAAGGTGAGACCAGAGAGCTAGGCATAGGCCAGCTGAGGCCTAAGTTAAGATGGGTGGATGCCCATCACTACTATTAGGGTCTGCCACAGGCAGCATTCTTTGGCTCTGACCTACCCAAGGAAATACACAGCAATCTCCAGTTTTGATTTTTGTGCATTACTTGACAAGACTACATTCTGCATGCAATTCTTACTCCTGTTCATCCACGCCAGGCCTAGACAAAAGTTGGGGCTCCTGTATGAGACACATTGTACTTGTGGCCTCACAACACCCTGTTCTCTCTGGGGCCTGAGTTGGTCTGGCACATGTGAATGCCCAACAAAAGGCAGAGACAACTGAAGTGTCCTTCCCTCCAAGCCTCCACAGGCAGGTGTGTTCACCCTGGCTGTGACAGTTCCCTCACCTAGGCCCCTGATAGTCACAGTCCTAATGGACTGGTATATTTCTCTGCTGGCCACAGTGGTTCTAAGCAAAGATCTTTTGGAGGAACCAAGGAGAGGCTGCCCCATCTCTTGAAGCTTCCAAGCAAAGCAGCTCGGAAAGTACCTTCACCCTAGAGGTGTTACTGGACCCTCTGTCACTTTCCTGGAGAAGTGACTCTGGTGTACCTAGCAGCTCTGATAGGGGGAGAAGAGGGACTTCCCAGTTGTCCTCTCTACCTGTGCAGACCCTTTCCTCTGACCCCTGGTTATTTAAGAAAGTCCTGAATTATGCTTTCCCTTCTGGAGCACTCTGGGTGTTGGAAGCACCGTGAAGAGACCTGCACAGGTGTCTGCAGAAATGGTGCCCATTCCTCTCTAACTCAGCCAGAGGCCCAGGCCCAAGAAAGCTGCTCCTGCCCAGTGGGAGGGGAAGGTGGACCCAGTGCCTCTGTGCATTTTCCTGGATCAGTTATTTGAGAGCCTGGCCAAGGATAAGCATCAGATGGTGCTCTGGGAGCCCCCGCCAGGTCTTTAAATAGCTGCTCCCTTGATCTAGCCTCCCAGGCAGCCCCAACAGTGGGTCAGCCTCCAGCAGGCACTCAGGTTTCCCTTCTGGGGTCTGGAATTAAGAGACAGGCAGGTTTTCCTCTGACCTGCTGCTCCCTACATGTGCCTTCCAGGCCTGGGGGTGGGGATGGGATAAGCTTGGTCCCTCACCTCATCAATAGCTAGATAGGCCCCCACTATGCGTTTACCAGCGAGGAGTGTCTGGGTGGTGAGAGAGTGGTATTGCCCTCAAAAGACTGTTGTTGACTTTCAGTACTATAAGAGTGGCGATATCTTCCCTCAGGGTTCTTACAAGAATTAAATGTATATAAAGTACTTAGGAGGGGCATTCAGACTGCTGCACAAGGTTGGCCCCAGGTGTCGGTGAGCCAGCGGTGCAGTAACAGTAGTTAGGAGACAACTTCAACAAGAACTGGCTGATACCCTAAAAAAACGATCTATGTCAGAGGCTTCGCTGGAGGTTACATCACATTACCGAATTAATTTAGAAGATGAAACACAGGATTTAAAGAAGATTGAGGCAAATCAGAATTCAAGCTTGAAATTGAAAATGACAACTTAGAAGTAATCAAAAAGCAAGTGGACAAAATTGAACAGCTTCAGAAAAATCTTTTACGTACAAGTTTGGATGAAAAGGAACAGTTAAGGAAGTTGACTAAGTTAAAACAATCTCTAGAACACAGTTTGGATCAAGAAGTAAAGAAAAATAGTGAATTAGAAAAAGATTTCTGGACTTAAGAAACTCTTAAAATGACAAGAAAGAAGTTAAATGAATATGAAAATGGAGAGCTTAGTTTCCATGGAGATTTAAAACCCGATCAAATTGAAGTGGACATTCAGATTAATACACTGAAACGTAAGATTGATCTTACAGCAAAACTGGAAACTTCATCTTCAAAATGTCTACATCTAGACACAAGAAATCAAGTTCTTCAACAGGAGCTATTTATGAAAGCAATGCAAAAGAAATGTGAAAAACTAGAGACAAATGTAAAGAAGTTGTAACAAAGTGGTAAACTGACTCATACAGAAATGAATATTGTAGAACACAGCCAAGTAGAGCTGTATAAGCGGGAGTTTGAAGAAAGAGGAAGACAGGAAATAGTAGAAAAAAGAAGTCGATCTGTTTTTACAGGCACAAACAGCATCTCAAGAAAAGTTAGAACAGTGGAGAGAAAATAAGAAGCCAGATGGAACTCAGAATTAAAGACCTGGAATTTGAGCTCTTCAAAATAAAAACTTTTAAATATTCTAGTAAAATAGAATTGGAAAAATACAAGCATCTCTACCTGGAAGAATTAAAAGTTAGAAATTCATTGAGAAATGAACTAAACATTTTCCACAGGACTAATGAGAGGCTAAGAGAGATGAATGCCAAACTTCTTGAGGAGAACCAGCAGAACAGAGCTTTACTCAGCACTCTTACTATGAGGCCAGCGCTGGAAACTCCTCACATTTGAAATCTTACTCCAAGAGAAAACTTAGTAATTCCTACCACAAATCTGTGGACTTCAGATAACATGGAGACATTCTTTGCCAAGGCCCTCAGTCAATTGGATGATGCCCCACATTGGTGAAGGCCGTCTTCTTTATTCAGTCTGTTGATTCAGATGCTAATCTCTTCCAGAAACACCCTCATAGACATACCAGAAATGGTGTTTTAGCAGCTACCTGAGCAGCCATTAGTTCAGTAAAGTTGGTGGATAAAATTAAATGTCACAAGTACATTCATGTTTAAACATTTTTTTTAATGATGGAAAAGAACAAAAGAGAAAAAAATAATCCATAACCAAAAAAAAAGTACTTAGGAGGGGATCTGGACTCACTAGATAGATGGCTGTCTTCCTGGGCAGTTTTTCCTGCTGCTGCTTGTGATCCTTACGTGCCTATATATATATACATATACACACACACACACACACACTCTCATTCTTTCCCTCGCTTACCCAACCTTCCGACAAAGCCACCACCATTTCCTAAGGGACAGTAGCTTCTCTGATCGGAAAGTGAGAGGGCTTTTTACATTGCTGTCATACAACCAACATGGTCACCTTTGTTCGGGTGGCGGGGTAGAGGTGAGAGGGACAGCTTAATAAATGTGGGGATGCTCCTCCCATCCTGCACCATCCCGAGAACTAAAGAAGGTCACTTTCTCTTTAAATGTAAATTACCTCCTGCCAGCTCAGCTTTCACAGCTCTGTAACTAGGAGGAGAGGGCTGAGGGCGGAGGGAGCCCACAAGGAAGCCTCACGCCAGACCCCAAACCTTCAGGTCAGTTGCCCCCTTCGAGGGTGGGGGCAGGGGCAGAATGCGGGTCTAAAGCTCCATTTCGGATCTTGTCTCCTGAGCTGAGCGACCCATTTGGCACACGGCTCTGGAGACTAAGCATGGAACCAGATCCCAGGTCGCCCCTAGTCGTTTTTGGCAAGCAGGGGCTCCTGCTCCCGTTCTTCTAAAGTCTCTAACTGGGCCAGGCTGTGGCAGGGCGAGGCAGGTGATGCACTCCTGTCTCCCCTCTACCACACCCCCTCAGTGCCAGCCAGCCATCTGATGCTGGTTATGGCCCCAGCGCCACCACCATCCCCAAGTGCAGAGTGAGGCTTGGTGGCAGCCGACTCAAGTGAGCAGCTTGGGAAAACCTTGTAAAGGTCCCCCAGACTCCACGGGGAAGACCTCAGCGGACCTGAGGCTCGGGGGGTGGGGCTGGACCGAAGGCTAAGCAGTGCCAGCCACAGACGCAGCCATTGTTGGAGGCCAAGGCAGCCAGCCTCCTGACCACCCACCCCATCCTGGCTGCAGCTGAAGGGAAGCAGGGACTTTATGCTGGGGAGGGTGAAGCTGGAAGCACGTCCCAGGGAACATCTGGGAGTCACCTGGTATTTGCAGTTGGGAGTGGGGTGGAAGAGGTGGGATGCCTGTGCCTGAGTGGAGGGAAACCAGCCTAAGCTCTGTGGCACATGAGGGTTTGACATGGGTCTTCTGGGCGCCCCCACCCACACCTTGGTCACCTCCCATGCTGACAAGGTTTATTGATAAATAGAACAGAACAGCCTAGTTAAGCCACCCCTAATCCACAGCTGTGCTCCTGCCAGCTCATATCCACTCTGTCTCTCCTCACATTTCCTCTGCCAGCTCCGCCCTCAGCTACAGGGACAGGAAACCCCAACAGCAGCAACAGAAGTGTTTGGTCCAGTCCTTTCAGGCAGAGCCTAGGTTTTCAGCAAAGGCCAGAGGGCAGGAAGGGACCTGAGTGGGTCCCTTCAAATACAAGTCTGTAAGTCCAGCAGTAGATGCTGGCACCTGGCCCTGCCCATACTGGACAGATGAGTGGACAAAGGCCCTGACAATTGTAAAGGGACAGAAGTTCCCAGGGCCCTTCCTCTGCAAGTCTCAGGGATTGCTGGGTGAAGGGGGATGACTGCCTTTCACTATCTCAGTGGGGTTGCCTCCCTCCCAGGACCTGAGTCCCAGCCCACAACCAATGGAGGACAAGAAGAAGAAAAGGAGTCCTAAACCCTGCCTGACCCAGCCAGCCCAGGCCCCAGGCACGCTACGCAGGGTCCCCGTGCCCCCCAGCCACAGTGGCTCCCTGGCCCTGGGACTCCCTCATCTGCCATCCCCTAAGCAGCGGGCCAAATTTAAGAGGTGGGTACAGAAGGGAAGCAGGAAGAAGAGGGAGGGGACTTCAACTTTAAGCTGAGCTCTGTGGGGAGGAAGGTAAAGGGGCCTTAGCTTTTAGTTACTAAGCAGTAATTGCTGCTTCCCATGGGGCTGAGCAGGCTGGCTCCTGGCAACTCAAGAGATGCCTCAGACCCAGTCCCTCCCTTCAAGCATGTGGGGAAAAGGCCAAGTGGGTCACTGGGATCACACAGTATAATGATGCACCTCAAAGCAGGGAGTGAGCAACACTGCCAGGAAGTGAGAGTCAGGGAAGCCTATTGGGTGGGCTGGAGAGAGACAGTGTTCTAAGCTGAGGAACTGACCTAGCATAAGTGTGGAAGAAAAACATTGTCTGGAAGGTTCCAGGAACCACAGGTGGTTTCGTGGCCCTAGAATGTCATGGGGCAGATGGTGAAAGGATACTCAAACTCAGGTATACAATGTGAATTCCTTCTTTTTAAATGAGAATTTGTACAATGTGAATTCTTTTCTTCTTTTTTAATGATTGGGAATTTGTCCATGTTTGTTTCCCACTAAACATGTGTTCTTTCTCCGATTACTGTTTCCTTGTGGCTTTGCACACCACCTGCCTGAGGCATGTTCAGGGATGGCCACTGTGGTTGTAGGTGAAACTCAGGGCTGGGGCAGTATTGGCAGAAAACGCAGTTGGAGAGGCATAGGGGCCAGGCTGAAAAGGTCATTCAATGTTATCCTGAGGGCAATGGAAAATTCAAAACAGTTTTTAAATAGAAGAGAGGCAGAAAGATATTTTGGGGAGATGTAAGATAGCTCTCATGGCAGTAAGGGAATAATAGTCCCCAAATTCACTGAGAAACAGTAAGAACAAATGATTCACCCAGAGTCACAGGAGGAATGAGTGAGGTGCTCAGACAGGAACCCAGAAGCCCCCCAACCCTAGGCATGGCTCTAGCTGTTACTGGCAGAAAAGACTTCTTTGACCTCTTACCCTCACTCCTCATCCACTCCCTTCCCTTCACCAATCCTCGTGCCCAGGGCAGGGCCTGAAGAACAAACTTCCATTTATGTAGGTGAGTTGCTAGGAAGATGAATTAGTACATAGACAGAGGTCACAAAAGACCTAGCTGCCCCCACCCTGTGACATGGTCGTGCACACCCCACCCAGGGCAGGCAAGGAAAAATGTCGCCCAGTGCTGGTCGGATCAGGGGGTGGCTCTGCAGGCACGCCTCTGCAGCACTCCTTCCTGACTGAGGTGACTGATGTCTATGAGATGGAGGGGGGACTGCTGAACCTGCTCAATGATTTCCACTCCGGCAGGCTGCAGGCTTTCGGTGAGTCCGGGGGGCTGGGCTTAGAAGGTATGTGGGTGGGGCTGGAGGGCCTGGTCTCTGGGATGCAGATGGGGCAAGGGTCCCAAGACCGCTCCCAGGGCTCAGACAGGTGCTGTCCAGGAAAGGAATGCTCCTTTGAGCAGCTGGAGCACGTGCGGGAGATGCAGGAGAAGCTGGCCCGGCTGCACTTCAGCCTGGATGTGTGTGGGGAGGAGGAGGACGAGGAGGAGGAAGAGGATGGTGTCACTGAGGGGTTGCCTGAGGAGCAAAAGAAGACAATGGCAGACCGCAACCTGGACCAGCTGCTAAGCAATGTGGGTCAGGGCTGGGTGCTTCAGTTCCTGGAGGTACCAGGGGGTGGGGGAGGGACATGCCCCTAAGGCCATTCCTGGGCCCTGGGTGAGAAGCTGGGGAGTACATGGAGCCAAGAGTTCTGGGCCCCTCAACTTCACCAGAAGATGGCCCCCAGAGCATCTGGGGTTTGGCCTAGTTCCCTTCTTGACACAAACCTCCTTTACTCCCTCTGTTGACAGCTGGAAGATCTTAGTAATTCTATGTATCCTTTCCAGGGGACCTGACAGTTTGTATGTGTGCTTGCCTCCCAGAGATGAAATCAGTTTCCTCCTCCCCACCACCTCCAGAGTATTTACGTATAAACAACTTCCCCAACTCTTTCAGTCCTGCTGAGTCAGAATTAGCCACAAACTGCCCCCACCCAGGTAAAGGAATGCAGGAAGAACTTCCCACAGAGTAGGAGAAAAGTGGCTGCAGGAAGTATGTTTTCCCTAATCAAAACCTTTGCAAGTACTTTGGCAGACACCAATCCACCACGAAACTTGTCTGAGGTCCTCCTCCTCTTTCAGCATTGAGCAATTATTTTTACTGATTTATATTATTCCCCATCCAGTCCCAGTCAGAAATTTTGTGCACGCACTTGTGTGTATAGACTGAGAGAGAAGAGGGTAAGCCACCTAGCCAGAAAAGCAGGTGGGTACTGCAACCTCAGACTACGGGTCACCCCCACCTCTGCCGAGTCCCCTGACCCGGCCCCTTCGCGCAGTTGAGGGAACAGCCTGTACAGGATGGGAAGACAGGGCTGGAAAGACTTGAGCCCAAAGCATCATAATCCTTGACTAGCACAGACAGAGGCTGCACCTGGCCGAGAACGCTGAGCCTGAGGACCAGTCGACTGTGTAGGTGCCGGACCCAGGCGCACACTGCCCCCTCCCATTCCCTTTAAACTGTGACTTTTATGGATTCGACGGGGTATTCCGCGGCCCCCCAGGTGCTATGGGGAGGGGGGCATTGGATGGAATTAAACCAGAAAAAAAGCAAGCAAGCGGCTCCGTGCTCTTCCTACCCTCATGGCGCCTTTACCCGGCGGAGACACCCATGTGCAAAACACACGGGTTGGGGAGGGCCCGCTCGTCGGGGCTGCAGTCGCTGGTGCGGCTCTGAGTGTGGGAGTTGGGGACTCGCGCAAGGACGCACGCGCTAGCTCGGGATAGAGGGACGGTTGCCGTGGCGACGGCGGGGGCGGGACCTGCCTGGCCGGAGCGCGGCGCGGACCAGTGACGCACTGCGCAGGCGCCCGGCAGGCGGGCAGATCAGTTGGCGCCCGGATGGAGCGGGAGAGGGAGCTGGAGCGGCCGATTCAGAAGGTGTCAATGTTGCAGGTGCGAGGCTGGGTTGCACGTTTCCCCTCGATGGAGTCTCGGACTGGCACCTTCGAACGAGATGAGGCTGTCACATTTAGTTACCTACCCGTGTGCCAACCTCTGTTGATACTGACCCACCCCTATAGCCCCGAAGAATGCTCGGCCCCACGGACCCACTGCGCGCCCCCAACTTCCCCACACGCCCCTGAAGGACCAGGGCAATAGCGGGAAGGGCCTTAAGTCAAAAAGGGGGATCCAGTCCGGCATGTTCATTTGAATCCCAAGAACCCCATTGCTGTGCATCACCTACCATTTCCGCCTGGGCGGGTCCCTTCTTAGAATCACCGGGATGACCTCTTCAGGAGAGTACCCCAAGATGCCCCCACTTTTTTAGTGATACAAGTTTTATTTTCCCTTGTTCTCCACACCAGGCCTGCGTCCGGGGCTTCTTGGTCCGACGCCAATTCCAGAGTCTGAGAGCTGAGTATGAGGCTATTGTACGAGAGATCGAGGGTGATCTGGGCATGCTTCAGTGGACTGAGGGCTGGATTCCTCGGCCCCGATTTCTTCCAGAGGTAGTACCCATCCCAAAGCGAGAAGGGAGGGGAAGGAGACACCTGGGCAGGGGATTCAAGGGAATGGTAGAATCCAGCCTTGCTACCGACAAATTTCTCTCAATGTAAAGGCTGCACTCACCTCACCATCCTGAATCCTCACCAACATGTATGCTAAATCACGACAACTTATATCTGGAGGATTTAGTCCTGGGGTTCTCATTACTTCTCTGACTGATTTCCCAGAAGCCAAAATCCCATCGGACCTGGAAGGCCAAAGAGAGGGTGCCAAATTCAGAGCAGAAACTAAGGAGCCACCTCCAATGTAAAGAGCCTCAGAGAGAGGCCCTCTGGGAGGAGATGATGCTGAAGAAGTCAGGAGAGAGCTTGACAAACTCAGGAAGTCTTCCTTACACAGATGACAGCCACTGGCTTCAGAATGAGCAAAGGAAACCCAGTCAAGAGAAGGCCAGAGATAGGTTAAGGATGGAGAACCCAGGTACTTCTCTACTACATTAGAGCAAGCCTCTGCTTCTCTCTAGGCCTCAGCTTTCCCATCTGAAAAGTGAAAGGCTAGTGCTAGATGAGCTGCATCCCTTTCCTTCTTCCCTCTGCCTGGTTGAGGCAACTCATGGGTGGGTAGGGGGAAGGTGCCAGGGTCTAGTGCTAGGCCAGTGCCCATTGTCTACTCCTCAAGGCTTTCTCTCTTTTTCCTCCCTCCTTCACAGGACTGCCCCATAGCCACACTGAGCTCCAGGAGCTTCAGTACCACCGCAACCACTTGGCCATGGAACTCTTGTGGCTACAACAGGCCATCAATAGCCGTAAGGAGGTAGGCAGTAACTCGGAGCACTTTCTACACATTTAAGGCCAAGGGTGGGGGTTAGGGAAAAGCCTTCTGATATGCCCAAGCAGGCCTGCCTGGTATAATGTCTGTTCTCTTCCCCAACAGTACTTAATTCTCAGACAAACACTGAGATCCCCAGAGGTGATCAGGCCAGAGACAAGCCCAGCATGTGCCAAGAACACAAGGCACAGGCCTATGAGAGAGCTGGGTCACAACCAAGCCCACCACTGGAAGACCAGTCCCTCAGAAACAAGACCAGTGGAGAGCCAGACCAGGCAGATGATTCCTGCTGGATGCTCAAATTACAACCCCACAAATCCCCAGAAAGACTGGCCACTCCAGAAAAAATCAAGTACAGGGATCCATGCTACAAAAGGACTGGACAACAGCTGCACATGCCATCAGATAACCAGACCACAGAGAACAGGCTCACCAAAGAGCCAGACCATGGGGAACAGACCTCTAGAGAGATCTGCATGCAGTTGACAGAACTCCTGGAGGACCACACCCCCAAAGGCCTCAAACCTAGGCTAGGGGCTACTATTCTGGAGAGGCCATGACACATGTAAACACACTCCAAAAGGACCCAAATATAATATTAAGGACAAGTCTCCCAGAAGGCCATACCACAAAGGGTCTGATTGCTAAAGAGCTAGGCCACAAGACCTGGGCCTCTCAAAGGACATGTCATCTGGGGTGGGACTTTGGCAGAGCATGGTGGCCCGGGTCTCTGGAAAACTAAACTGTCCATGGACCAGACCCCCAGTGGTAAAACCTCCAGAGAGAGAACCTCCAGTGAGCCTAGCCATGAAGAATGGAAAAATGAGGGAACTGTACCATGGAGATGAAGGTCACCTGAGAAATATCTTCCCCAGGGTGAGACCACACAGGAGGGACCACTGGAGGAGCAGGCTGTGGGAAACAGGACCACCACGCTGGGTCCTGGGGAGCCAGGGCAGGACCAGGTTCCAAAGGGAGATGCTGCAAAAGGTAATGAGGGAGACAGGTCCCCATTCCAGCTCCTGGTACCAGCTCTATCCTCTAACCTTTGGTGGCTACTGGGACCCAGAGAAGCTGGAGCCAAGAGCTGGCACCCATATGGGAGAGGAGAGAGGATGCTCCTTCATCCTCTGCTTGCAGCTTAGTCCAGATTTTGGGACAGGGAGTCATTTGGGGTAAGTAAAGTGGGAGAGCTGATTGAGAATAAAGGTTTTTCACAGATTTCTGAGCCTGGTTGTATTCATCTGCCTCTGGTCAGGACAGACTCCCTTCCTACTGGCGTGGGGCATCTTCCCCACAGCCCAGGAGCAGACTAGCCATCCTTGGGGAACAGCACCCAAAGCTGATTCTCCTTTGAGCTCAGCCCTTGGGTGGCAGAGTAGCACGGAGGCTCTGAAAATCCCTCCCTCCTTTCAGTAGTGGGACATTTGTGTTTTGGTGTGATCTCTGCCACTGCCCTACCTTCCTGGGTGAGAGGGCGGGACTCCACCTCTAATTGGCACTGCTCCCAGCCCTGCTTTAGTTGCCTGGCAACAGCTCTGCGTCTCTAGCTGAAGACACACTATGGCGAGTGGCAGTCCAGCAGTCAAGAGGGTAGTGGTGTATCGGAATGGGGACCCCTTTTCCCCAGGCCACCAGCTGGTGGTGACTCAACGCCGCTTCCCCACCCTGGAAACCTTTCTCTGTGAGGTGACATCAGCTGTGCAGGCCCCACGGGCTGTGCGAGCCCTCTACACACCCTGCCATGGGCACCCTGTCACCGACCTGGCAGACCTGCAGAACGGAGGGCAGTATGTGGCTGCTGGCTTCGAACGATTCCGCAAGGTCTAGTGAGTGGGCTGGGGCTGGTCGAAGGGCCTAGGGAGGGAAGTAACAGCACAGCAATGGCATGTAGCCTCGCTGTGGATGTACAGGCGCTGTATATGTTACCTCGTGGACTACAGCAATGCTTTGAAGGGGGGGGGATGACCTTACCTGTGTTCTTTAGAAGGGGAAATCAAGACAGTGAAGTTAAGTAACCTGCCTAAGAGTACACAGGTAACAAATAGCAGAGCCACAGTTCATGTCGAAGTCAGATGCTAATGTTTATGCCCATCACAGCCAGGGCCAGCCTGTGGAAGGAGAACCTCGTCCCACAGGCTGAGCACCCTTTTCCAAAGGCTCTTCACTGGATCCTCTACCACTGCCAGCACCACCATCACCATTACCAAATGTCCTTCTAAATCCATCTACTACTTCCTCCTTGCTGTGCTTGGACTTTCTGGGCTCGCCATTAGCCTGGGGTCACCCCCCTCTTATAGGGTGGGGCTGTGCCTTGTTCCAAAGAAGAAAAAGAATTTGAGTATCTGAGCTTCCAACTCAGATCTGGCTTCTAGGTCCTACTTTGGTCAGCCAAGGTTGCTTACCATAACATACGGAGCAAGGGGTCAGGAGGTAGACAGAATTAGGATCTGAGCTCTAACACTTACTTCTGTGTTACTTTAGGCAAGTCACTTAACTTTCAGTCTCATACATGAGATGAAGCCACCTACCTCTGAATTAGAAAACCTCTGAGATACAGTGAGATGTTTAATGAACTAGTTCTCTCAACCTTTCATCTTACGGTTTGTGTCTGAGACCCTAGTCAGGTTGCTGAGCCTGATCAAGGGCTCTAAGACAGGTTCAGGTGCCAGCATGTTTCTGTCCTGAAATGACTTAACACTATTCCCCTGGGAAAGGATACCTGGTGAGCTGGGCCTCAGCCCCATACTCTGGCAGCTACCAGGCTGTTGGGGTCCCAGGCTCCCCAAGATGACCTGTGACCTATCTGGCCTTTCAGCTACTTACCCCCTCGAGGGAAGGATCCAGGTGGGAAGAGCAGCAGACTACCAGTGAGTCCTGAGGGAGGCCGCCCCCAGCCCTCTGTCTTCCCACCTGTCCTGGGATCACCCCCAGTTTGGTCTGGGAGGAGGGGGCCCTGGGACTGCAGCATCTCCCAGCTCCAGGGAAGGTGCTCTCCACACCCACGCTGCAGCCAGCTGCTAGCCTCCCTGGGTGCAGGATTTCAAGATACTATCCCTTGCTCCTTTCCCAGCCTTGTACTTTATCTCCCACCTCTGATCCCCACACAAAAAGGAAGCTATAAAGTGCACAGGGGCAGGGAGGTGGTTAGAATGTGACTTCGGGGAGGCTGACGTGCCCTTGGGTGACAGGTGTGTTCTAGCCCTCCCTGCCCCACTCCAGCTCGTCTGGTTCCTTTCCTTCACCCTGCCCACCTTGGACTGACCCTCCCCTAACCAAAGGCCTCAACTCTCTCCTGATTGCTAATGTTTATGCCCATCACAGCCAGGGCCAGCCTGTGGAAGGAGAACCTCGTCCCACAGGCTGAGCACCCTTTTCCAAAGGCTCTTCACTGGATCCTCTACCACTGCCAGCACCACCATCACCATTACCAAATGTCCTTCTAAATCCATCTACTACTTCCTCCTTGCTGTGCTTGGACTTTCTGGGCTCGCCATTAGCCTGGGGTCACCCCCCTCTTATAGGGTGGGGCTGTGCCTTGTTCCAAAGAAGAAAAAGAATTTGAGTATCTGAGCTTCCAACTCAGATCTGGCTTCTAGGTCCTACTTTGGTCAGCCAAGGTTGCTTACCATAACATACGGAGCAAGGGGTCAGGAGGTAGACAGAATTAGGATCTGAGCTCTAACACTTACTTCTGTGTTACTTTAGGCGAGTCACTTAACTTTCAGTCTCATACATGAGATGAAGCCACCTACCTCTGAATTAGAAAACCTCTGAGATACAGTGAGATGTTTAATGAACTAGTTCTCTCAACCTTTCATCTTACGGTTTGTGTCTGAGACCCTAGTCAGGTTGCTGAGCCTGATCAAGGGCTCTAAGACAGGTTCAGGTGCCAGCATGTTTCTGTCCTGAAATGACTTAACACTATTCCCCTGGGAAAGGATACCTGGTGAGCTGGGCCTCAGCCCCATACTCTGGCAGCTACCAGGCTGTTGGGGTCCCAGGCTCCCCAAGATGACCTGTGACCTATCTGGCCTTTCAGCTACTTACCCCCTCGAGGGAAGGATCCAGGTGGGAAGAGCAGCAGACTACCAGTGAGTCCTGAGGGAGGCCGCCCCCAGCCCTCTGTCTTCCCACCTGTCCTGGGATCACCCCCAGTTTGGTCTGGGAGGAGGGGGCCCTGGGACTGCAGCATCTCCCAGCTCCAGGGAAGGTGCTCTCCACACCCACGCTGCAGCCAGCTGCTAGCCTCCCTGGGTGCAGGATTTCAAGATACTATCCCTTGCTCCTTTCCCAGCCTTGTACTTTATCTCCCACCTCTGATCCCCACACAAAAAGGAAGCTATAAAGTGCACGGGGGCAGGGAGGTGGTTAGAATGTGACTTCGGGGAGGCTGACGTGCCCTTGGGTGACAGGTGTGTTCTAGCCCTCCCTGCCCCACTCCAGCTCGTCTGGTTCCTTTCCTTCACCCTGCCCACCTTGGACTGACCCTCCCCTAACCAAAGGCCTCAACTCTCTCCTGACTTGGGGGCCTGACTTGGGTTTCAGGGTCCTCCCGTGACTCACTGCCCATGTGATGGGACCCTTGGACGGCAGCTACCTGCAGGTTCCCCTCGCTGCATCTAGTGAGTGCTGCTGCTAGGGAGCGGGGGCATAGATTTTGTTTCAGGGCAACAAAAAAAATGTGGGTAGGTTTGTTCTGGGAGCCCCCAGTCACTGTTGGGAATATAAGTACGACATGCTTGATGGGTGGAAATGGATCCTCACTGGTTCTCAGACCCTCTCCTGGCCCCTGTGCCCCCCTTATTCCCCTCCCATATGGGGAGTTCTGGGGACTCTTCCCCTTACCAGGCTGCTCTTTGTTCCAGTGTGTTCAGGAATGGGGACCTGTTAAGTCCCCCATTTAGCCTGAAGCTGTCCCAAACTGCCAGTGAGGACTGGGAAACAGTGTTGGCACTCCTGACAGAGAAGGCCAAATTACAGAGCGGGGCTGTGTACAAGTGAGTATGGGACCTGGGGAGGCCCAAAAGTCCCCAAAATGAGCCTCCCTACTCATGTCAGCTCTCCTAGAGGATGAATAGGCAAAAGGAAAGTAAATTTCTCCAAATGGGACCTCCTTCTGTGCCACAAGGAGAGGCCCTGCCAACCCAGCCCACAGAGCCTAGGTGATTGGCCCTGGTGCCTAGAGGTACCCAGGCTGTGGAATAGCTGTGCCCATCCCCTCACAGTTTGCCAAATATGAAGAGGCATCTTGTCCACTGACCCTTACCTGCTCACCTTTCTCTCCCAGACTCTGTACCCTGGAGGGACTCCCGTTGTCAGCAAGGGAGGCTCTGGTAAGTGGCCATTACTATGTGGCTGTTGGAGAGGATGAGTTCAAGGCCCTCCCCTACCTGGAGCTGCTGGTGCCTAGCCCCTCACTGCCCAGGGGCTGCTGGTATGTATGTGTGAGGTGGAGGGGTGGCAGGTTAGAGCAGAGAAAACCACCTTGACTCCATGTCTTCCTCTGCCGACTACAAGCCTTTTCTTTTTTTACTGCAGGCATCCCCCAGACCCAAAGTCTAGGACTCACAAGCAGGGGGTAGGTGACGGAGGGGGATGGTGGGGGTGGGAAGGAAGGGGAATGACTGGCTGAGTCCTCCTTCAGCTCAGGCTCCGACCTTCTCTCACTGCATCCTCTCAGTAATCCTGAAAACAGAGATTATTATTCCCATTTTCCAGAGGAAAGACTTAGTACAAGTAAGTGAAGTAATTTGCTCAGAGTGATAGTTACTGAGTGGCAGGGGCCAGACCAGAACCTGGTCCTGGTCTGAAAGTCAGCTAATCCAGGCTCTGTGGGGACCATCAGGCCTCTGAGTTGCTGGACCTGATGTTCTCTGGCCAGGTGGGACGCTGGGAGAGAGAACTGGCATATCTGGCATAGCAGGGCCTGAAGGAGCTTATCAGCACCCATCTTGTCCCAGGCCTGAGCCCTCCCAAGAAAGGAGTCAGTGAGCATGGTGGGCATAAAGGGACACAGCCTGGTTTCACTGGGCATCTTGAGCGCCAGCCACCAGCTGCTCTGCCTCTGGATAAGGCAGCCTAGTGGGAAGAGAGAGCAGGGAGGGAAGATGCAGGCTGTGAAGATGGATGGCTTCTCCTTTCCCAAGCTCCCACAGGCACCAAGGGCATTCAAGCTGGTACTGGGTGTAGAGAAGGTAAGAACAGCCAGTACCGACAGCCCAAGCCCAGTGCACCTTCTACAGGCCCAGGGCCACAGGGCAAAGGCAACCCAGCCCTCGCCACAGGAACCAAGCCGAATTGAGCAATCTGCTTTCTATGCCAGACCCCAGCAGGCCATTCAGACAACAAGCGTGCTCCCCACTCTCTCGTTTCCATCAGGTAAGGGGACCTTCTCAGCCACCACCTGACAGAGACACCGGATGTCCCTGCTGTTGTGGGGGAGGTCCACGGGGCAGAATGCCCAGGGGCAGAGCTAGCCCTGACGTCAGCACACCTGTCTCCTACTCCTACTCCATATCTAGTCCCTTGCCTCAACAGAGACTTGGCATGTGAACAGAAGCACACGGAAACTCAAGGCGACAAAACATCAGGGCTGGGGTTTGGAAGGGCTGGGGTTTGGAAGGGATGGGGATTGGGTCCCAGGCCTGCCTCTGAACTGTGCTGCCATCCTCCCAGGTACTGGGAATATGGAGTGAGGCTCGGGAGTAGGCAGGGGCTGGTAGAGAAGGTCAAGGGTAAGAATGCCGAGGGCTTCTCAGCCTGAACATCAGCTGATATTGTCCCTTCATCAGAAGTCAAGGGAGTGTATGGGGCTCCCCACCCAAGGAAGGAGACATCAGGGGCCCAGGATGTAGCAGACGATGAAGACATCTGCACAGAGGAACCTTTGGATCAGGTAGGCTAGGGTTGGAAGCAGTATGTTAGGACAGGAGGAGTTGAGCTCAAAACTGGCAGTCCTGGGTCCCAGGAACAGTTCTTCCCTCTTGTGACTGTGAGCAGATCTCCTTACATCCCCAAGCCTGCCTTCCTACCTTGTTAAATGGGGGAAAGATCCTAATTCCTAAAGTCTCTTCCTCTCCTGGGGTCGGGAAGCTCCTGGCTGAGGGCTGGAGGCTGGACACGGGATGCTAATGGTTCTGCTCTGTATGGCCTCCCACCTCCTCCAGAGGGCAGCACAGATGGTGGAAGAGGCCCTGGCCCCAGAAAACCTGCCTGAGGCTGGGGCAGCATCAGCCTCAGCCCCTGCTGCTCTGCCTTGAGAGCCACAACTCCAGCCAGGAACTGGGGGCCGCCACTCTGCAGTCACCTCTTCTCCTCAGCCTCCAGCAGCTGTTCCTGGGGAGCCACCACCTCACCTCCCCTGGGCCCACAGGTACCCCACAGCTCCCTCCAGCTCACCCCACTCTTCTGCTCACAAACCTGCAGCCTGGCCTTCTTTCCTCCCTGAGCAGAGCAGCCCTAGCTGCAGGGGCCATTTCGTTCCAGGGTCCTCTAGCCAGGAACGGGAGTAGCCAACTGAGCTTGGGGGAGAGATCACAAACATAGAGTGGGTCCGTCACAATAAAAGAATACTTATTAACCTCCATCTGTTTACTACAGATTTATTACAGGGTCCTGCTCACGAGGCATTGTATCACACGATGGACTTAGTGGTGCTGGGCTCACAGGTGTTTATCTGTTTGAGATGGGTAGGCAGTAGAGGTTTCCCACCCACCTTATAGGTGGGAGATGCAAAGCTAACAAACAGTTCATCTCCCCTACACCTGCCATTCTGATGCACCTTCTTCCCCTCGGTTCCCTCCTCAGCCAGCCAAGGCTCCCTGACTGAGCCCTAAGGCCTTTTGTTTGTACTTCTGAATCAAAGACTGTAGCTGGCCCTCTGTGCAGCTGGGGTTTTGCAGTCCATCGACCCCACTGCTGTGGGAGTCCAGATCAGGCCACAGTAACAGTGGCTGGGTTGGGGGCCTGATGTGGCAGCAGGCGGAGAGCTCCTGGGGCAGAATGGTTGCTGAGGGTGAGCGTGAAGTCTCTTGTGCTAAATCCCAGCAGCTGAATGGTTCTTGAAAGTTACAAGGCTCTCTTGTTCTCTTACTGTGATCCATGAGGTAGCTATTAGCCACATAAGAGTCAGAAGCAGAGGCTCAGAAGGGTAAATGCCAGGTCCATCTGCTCACTGCCTGCAGCTCATGGCCCAGAGGCTTCCTGGAGACAGCAGGGCTGGAGGGTATCGTTGGTTCACTCAAAGGGTAGACAGTTGTCCCCGGGTCTTGTCCATTGAGCTTGTGACGCAGAGTGTAATTCCTGCCACAGTGAGCACCATGCCTGCTAATGCTCCTGGGATAATGGGCAGAAATCAAGGGGCTCTGAGCCCAGCCACACCAGCAGAAGCTGCCGCAGGGCTGAGGGAAGGGCTCGGATGGGGTCTGTCTCTAGCGGAAGGGAACTCTGAGGACCGCAGGCAAAAGGACTGCTGCACAGGGAAAGGGCAGGATGTAGGAAGATCCTCTCCTCACCCACCCATGGGAGATGGCTCTGGGGAAGAACTAACCTGGGAGGGTCAAGGGCCAAGCAGCTGCCTCCCACACTTGTAGTGGCCTCACTTACGTTTTCCACCAATATCTTCTCCAAGGACCTTCCCAACAATTAATGTGAAGACGATGGCCAGGGAGTTACTGATGGGCACAGCTAGGGTCAGATCTGAATGATCAGAATGAAAAGAATCTCTGAGGTGCAAAAAATGCCTTTCTAGGCACACAACACTTCAATTTCATCATCAAGACAGGCTTTTAAAAAAGGTACCCCACTGAAAGCAGTATAGCACGGAGAAGACAAGTAATGACTCTATAGCATCTTACTACACTGATGGACAGTGACTGCAATGGGCCGGGGGAAGGACTTGATAATAAGGGTGAATGTTGTTCATGTGAAACCTTCAGAAGATTGTATATCAATGATACTTTAATTTAAAAAAAGGTACCTAATTTTTCAGATGAAGTTACAGCAAAGCTGATTCAAACCCAGGTCTCCTGACTCGAAATTCAGTGCTCCCTCAGGATTCCAGCATGAAAACTTGAACTACAAGGACCACCCCGGTTTGCTGATAAGAATGAGGTCTTTGCACTCAAAGAGAGCTCCTAAGATTTCAAGGACATCTGGACAAAGCCTACAGCAGAATGAACATGATGACACCAAACATAACCACCATTTACTAAGTACATATTATGTGCTGGATGCTTTGTGTAGAAATCTCCTTTAATCTTCACAACAACACTGCAAGAAGACAATTGTCATTTTGCACAGATAAAGGAAACAAAGGCTCAAAGAAGTCACATAAATTGAGGCCAGTTGAGGATTTAAATCAAGGTCTGCCTGTCTCCAAAGCCTGTGCCACAGCTGAACTATGGGGATGTGGACAAACCAAAACAGCAGGTGAAGTACATATTGCTTGTTTCAGCTCAGGCTCGGGCCTTATGGGGTTAAAGAAGAGAAGAAAGGTCAGACGCAGGAAGCCAGGTACCTTTCACGGGCCTGGGTCTTGGGCCTGAGTCTTACACAGAAGGCAGAGGTTACCACAGCCCAGGATCTTTCTTAGTTTTGAAGCTCTGAGGGACTGACTCCCAATAAACAAACTTGAAGAAGATTAATGGAGTCAACAACACTGTTAACTTGAAATTTATTACACATAAATTTTGTACACTTAAAGCTCTTTAAGATTGATCTTATGTTAAGTGTTCTTAACACACACACACAAACTAATGGATGATTTAGAAGCTGGGTTATTTGTTTACAAGACTCATAACTGCCAGGCAGACTCCTCATGTTGGCTCCTCAGCACATTCTTTCCCAGCACTCCCAGGCCTCACCTGCTTCAGGTAGAGGAGAGAACCGTCTTGCTCCTCACCCCCAGGGCTGGCATGACCCATCCAACAGACTGACACAACTCCTACCTACTCAGAGCTGCTTCCTTAAGCTTACACATCTTACACTGAATGCCATGCCTGCCAAAGACTGGCTTGCAGGGAGGGCAATAGCATGGCACACGGGAGGAGCTGGGGCACAGGAGTGAGGCAGACCCGAGTTTCCCTGCGGAATCCGGTTAGGTCATTCAAACACTGAGCCTGTTCCCTACGTGTAAAACAGTGACAGCCAGCTAACATCTCCTTAGAATATCACTGTTGTAAGATGAAACATGATCATGTGTATATAGTCCCTGGATGAATATGTCCTTAATAAATAGTGCCTACTGTTCTGGGTGAATGTTAAAGGACAGAGGCAGAGAAGGTGAAGAGGATTCTAAAACTGCAGTTTGCTCAAAACTTGGTAAATGGCTAACTGGTCAGCTGGCCAGAGGGTTAAGCATTCTTGGGCAGCAGGGAGTGACAGAGGCTTTCAAACTTTTTTTTAATGAAGTCTTGAGAAATCCAAAATGTAAAACAGAAGCAGAATGACAGTTGAAGCTGAGGGAACAGGTCTAGAGCCCAGCCTACTGCCTTGCCCTCCTGTGGCTTCACAGGGGCTCCCCAGAGCTAAGTGGGGTCCTCATTGCCCTGGGGAACCTGGGTGAGACTCTAGGCAAGGTGAAACCACAGCTGGGGGACTTCTTGTAGCAAAGTTCAAGAGCATCTTTAAGTAATACATGGCTTCAAATCCATCTGCACTGACCTGATATAGGACTTAAGATAGATGAACTAAGTTGCCCAAAGGTCTGTAACTTCATCTCCTAAATGGAGGTAAGTATGTCTCCTTCATAGGGCCATGATGAGAATTAAATAAAATGTATAAAACTAGCACAGTGTCTGATTCAGTAGATGATGTCAGTAAACAACGGGAGAAAGAAGAAAAAATTTGTATTTACTGAGCTCCTACAGTATGCACCAGGTACTCTGCTAGATATTTCTCATATACTAAATTTAATCCTCTCAATGCTAGGAAGCCGGTCATATAAAACCAAGGCTCAAATAAGAGACATTGTGAAGGTCAGGCAGGCAGCACACAGTGGAAACCAAAGTGTCAAAGCTAAGCCTTGACACAGCAAAGTCAATGTTCCTTCTTCCTCTGCTGCTGCCCAAGGCTGTCAGGCTTCAGACCAACGCTAGTGCCTGGCAGCACACTCCTAACCAGCCCACTGTGCCCTGACTCCACAGAGAAGGAAAAAAGAGGGAACCACAGGCAGTGGGCTCTCCCTCACTCATGGAAACAAGGTGTTTCAGGCACCCTCCCCAAAGCAACTCTTCTGGGCAGCCTCCACCAAGAATAACCTTTCTAAGCCAGAGACCCACCTGTTGATGTCAAAGTGAGGTAGTAGAGAAGGGAGCCACACTGGTTGAGGAAAAAGGGCATCAGGTACTGGAAACAAGAAATGTGCAGTCAGGGTGAATGCTTACTGAGCAGCACCACCTTCTCTGAACTCCTAGCAATACCTTTCATTGGGTGGAGGTAGCTCTAAGGGCCCAGGGAGCACTCAGTCTTCTGAAAAGGACCCTTCCAGGGCAGACAAAGTGCATGACTGAACTTCATGCCTTTGCCCTGAATGCCTTCCCCTCAGCCTTGCTAGTTCCTATCCTCCCCATCCTGCAAGTCTATGAGTGCCAAAGTTACTCCCGCTAAGCAGCTTTCCCAGAGTCCCCTAGCTCCAGCCTCCCTCCTCAGAACTCACCTGGCACTTTATCAGTACCTCTCACAGCCCTCAGGCCTGAGGCAGGGATATCTATGCCTTATCTTTTCCCACTAGCCTAAACTGGCCATATTGGGGTCCGAAGTAGTTCTGTATATCCTTCCTTATGCTCTCTCCCCAGGGCCAACTGAGCCCCAAGCCCGCCCTCTGGAAAGGTCTGTTAGAGGGATCACCATAATAAAATATTAACAGCAGCCATAGATTGAGCACTGATTATGTACCAGGCCTAATGCTAAGTGCTTTATGTGCCTCACCTCATTTAATCCTCACAGCTGCCCTATGAAATGGTTACATTATTCCCATTTTACAGATGATAAAACTGAGGCTCTAAAACAAGTGACTCATCCAAGAGCTTCTTACTAAGTGGCGGGGCGCAGATTCTGACCCAGACGTATTTGACTCCAGAGAACAAATTCTTAGCGGCTACCTCCAAGATAAGGGCCTTTCCCAGACACACCTCAGTATTCAAGAAGAGGGTCTTCATCTCCTGCAGCAACTGCCGGGCCCAGGTCCGCTCATGAACCTGCTGCAGGCGGGAGGAGGCCCGTTTCAGCAGAGGCTGTGTGCCACCCCACAGAGCGGCCACCAACACCAGAGCCAGCACCTGCCCTGGATGGAGATGCGAGTGACCCTCCCGCCCCACCAAATGGCCACGAGCCGGGCCCAGCCCTCCTCCGGCCTCCCACCCCAGGTAGCCGCCCCACATCCCTCCTAGGCTCTCCGGCAGGCCGGTGGGATTGGCGGGTAGGACAGACGCGGGAAGGCCGAGGACAAGGATAGATCCAGGAGGCCGCGGTCCGGTGCTCGGCAGGGATCAGGGTTAGGTGGGATGGTAGACTAAGAGTAGAAAATGCCCTCGGGGCCGGCAGGGAAGGGTTTCCGAAAGCCCAGAGAGGGGCGGGGCCGCCTACCCACCGAGAGACGCCGCCATGGCAACGCCGTTCCCTTCCACTTCCGGGAACGAAGGTGCAGACACCCATTATCCGGAAGTGGCTCCAAAGCTTCTTCCGGCTCTACTCACGCTGTCGCTCTTCGCGTCACCGCCGGAATGGTGAGTTCCAGTGGTTTGGGGGTATTGCTGTGGGGTTCGGGGCTGGGGCAGAGGCGTATTCTGGACGCTGACATTCCCGTCCTGTCCCCGCAGAAGCCGATCCTGTTACAGGGCCATGAGCGGTCCATTACGCAGATCAAGTACAACCGCGAGGGAGACCTCCTCTTCACGGTGGCCAAGGACCCTGTGAGCGTCGGCGGGAAGGGGAGCAGGCGGGCGGGCGGGACCGTGCGGAGGGGCCTGAGACGGGCGAGTTCTTTCCGCCAGGGTGAGGGGTGGACAAGCCAGTTTTGCCGCGAGAGGGGAACCAAAGAGTGTCCCATTCTGAGAAGCAGGGAGAGACCATCCCGGGGGTAGGTGAGCGAGAGCATTAAATTCGGAAAGGTGGGAGAGAACTCAGTTGCTGGTAGGAGGGAGTAGTCAGGGAGAAGGAAAGCAAGAGACCGTTGTGGAAGGGGGATGGAGACGAGGGATCAGCTCGTTCAGGAGACCGTTCTGGGGAAAAGGAAATCTATTCTACCGGGATGGGGGAACAGACCGTAGAAAGGGAAAGCTTATCTTCGGGTGGCAAGGGATAGAGGACTTAATGAAGTGTCTCTGGTCTCATTTCTGTCAGTCCATCCTACCACCCACTAAGTGCAAACAGTCCCTCTCCGTAGTGCCTTTTGAGACACCTCCTTATGGGAGGCTAAAATTTTAGCTCTAGTGACTAAAAGTTCAGGATCTGAAGCCAGACAGACCTGATTTGAATCCTGACTCCTGCATCCACTAGTTGCCTGACTTCAAGCGTGTCATTTAACCTCTCTAATCTTGAAGGTTTCCTTTTTATAAAATATGAGTACTTTTAGTACCTCCCTCATAGGGTTGTCTTCAGGATTAAGCAAGATCATTGAAGCAAGGAGCTTTTAATACTGTACCGGGTGCTTAATTAATATTAGTCACTTATATTTTAAATTCCTTAGATACCATTTTATTGGATTTTTACAGCTCCCCTTTGAAAGAGGCATTATTGTCATGGCCATTTTACAGATGGGAAAAGTTCAGAGGGGAGAAGCACTGTATTTGAGATAACACAGTGAACTAGTGGCAAAGCAGGACCTAGAACTCAGACTTCCCTACTACTGACTGCTCCCACTCGGACAGGACAATGCTGCTGTTTTCTGGACTGGCACTCAACTTAGCCTTTTATTCTTTTAATTCTTTAGAGGGTTTAGGAGTCAGGGAGAGAGCTGGGGCAATAGCAGACAGAGACGTTTTTGCAAGCCTCCTGACTCTTCTGCCACATACCTGCAGGAAGGAGGAGAATCCAGGAGTTGCTATTTTTATTAGCAACCTGCTGTTTCCTAAGAGATGAGCAGGAGAAGGCAGAATCTGGCCTGGCTAGAAGCTACTGAGGGTTCCTAGGGCAAAATAGGAGGCCATTGCTCTACCTGGGATGTGTACCATCCTGTCACATTGTCATTGATTCCTCCAGATTGTCAATGTATGGTACTCTGTGAATGGTGAGAGACTGGGCACCTACATGGGCCATACTGGAGCTGTGTGGTGTGTGGATGCTGACTGTATCCTTGTCTTTGCTCTGAGTCCATGCTCCCAGTACCTGCCAGCAATGGAAGGGCTGCTGGCTTGGAGTCAGGAATTCAGGGTACTATTGTGGGTCTAGAAAATAATACTACCTCCTACTCCCTGGACTGTTCACTGGTTGGGGGAACATTAGGACAAGTTCCAGTTCTGGATGAGGATGTTAGAATGCTCTGAGTTAAGAGAGTAAGAAAGGCCCCCTACAGCTTAACAGGAAGGTGATTCAGTTGGCCTTCCAGCAGGATAGGGCTCAAGTGAACGTGGTCATGTTTCTTAACATCCTCTTCAGGGGACACCAAGCATGTCCTCACCGGTTCAGCTGACAACAGCTGTCGTCTGTGGGACTGTGAAACAGGTAAGCCTGGGTCATTCACTTTTTCAGCAAACAATAAGGACCTACAATGTACTTGCTTAGGTGAACAGGTTCTGGGGAAATAGAGATAAATCTAGAGATGGTTCCTAGTTTAGAGAACAAGAGACAGACTAGAAAATAAGGAAGGCAGATAAGAAAAGGAACACTACAGAAAGATACCAGCTATGTTCAAGAAAGCTTGGAGCACTTTGGAAGGCCTGAGTGGGGTAGCTGGCTGCCTGCAGTGGGGATGGGAACAGCTAGGAAGGTTTCACAAGGTAAACGTCATATGAGCTGGGGCTTAGAGGATGAGAAGGAGGTCATCACTTTGGCATATATGCTGGAATGAAAGCATGGCAAGTATCACATCCAAATCATCTGATCTGGCAGGAGTTCCTACTTCTTGGGGGATGAAATAGACAGTGGAGAAGATGAGGTAGGCTAGAGCCGGCCAAACCCAGGCTTTGACAGCCAAACCCAGGAGCTTGGCTTTGTTCTGTGGGACTTGGCATGCTGCTGAGGTCCCTGAGCAGGGATGCGTGTGTTTTGTTTTAGCAACTTAGGTAGCAGTGGGGAACATTGGAAGAACAGAAGACAGGGGAGCCTGTCAAGCTGCTCCATTTGGTAGATATTTACTGGGCACTGCAATGCAGAGAAATTAGAGCTGGTTTTGCTATGGAGGAGATCATGCTGAGGAGGATACATACAGTGCAGTATACTGTGAGCAGTGCCATAGTGGCAGGATCTCTGAGGAGGGACAGTGGGGAAGTTAGAAGACTTGAGGCAAAGCCTAGCATTGAAGAAGAGGTGGTAGGTTGGAGTCACTAGAGCAAGAAAATCAGGTGTGACAATAGGCAGGTGTGGAGAGTGTCCTCCCCACAATGGCAGTGGGCAAGGGGTAGCCCGGACTCTGCCTGTCCCCAGGGAAGCAGCTGGCCCTACTCAAGACCAATTCAGCTGTCCGGACCTGTGGCTTTGACTTTGGGGGCAACATCATCATGTTCTCCACGGACAAGCAGATGGGCTACCAGTGCTTCGTGAGCTTCTTTGACCTGCGGGATCCGAGCCAGATCGGTAGGCTGGCATCAGGGCTTAGAACTGGGCTTGAGATGAAGCATATGGCTCCAGAGCCAAGGGCCTGACATGTGCTTCCCCACACAGACAACAACGAGCCCTACATGAAGATCCCTTGCAATGACTCCAAGATCACCAGTGCTGTTTGGGGACCCCTAGGGGAGTGTATCATTGCAGGCCATGAGGGTGGCGAGCTCAACCAGTATAGTGCCAAGGTAAGGAGGTAGATGGGGCCTAAGCCCACCAGGATTTCCAAGAGGCAGGATGGCAACAGTGGTTAAAAGCAAGGACTGGATTGAAATGTAGATTTCACCACTTTTTAGTTGTGTGGACTTGGACTAGTTCACTTGGATAACTTCCCTGAGACTGTTTACCTGTAAAACGTTTCAAGGCTCATGATATCATGCATTGGAAAAACTTGTCGCAAGTACCCAGGATATGTTCACAGTCACATTAAGCATTAATAATCACCACTGAGTGCCAGGCCTCATGCTGGGCTCTGAGGACAAAGAAGTGGATGAGATATGGACCCAACCCCAGGGACAGACTAGCAGACAGCTAGCATATGGGTCAGATGGCAAGTTGTGCCACCACAGAGGTTTCAACCAAGTGCAGAAAGTGCCCTCTGCCACAGAGGTGGCAGCATGTACATTAGTCATGAAAAGTAAGTGGAGTTTCAGGCAGGAAGAGAAAGACATTCCACAGGCAAGAGCACAGAAGCAGGTAAGGGAGTAGGTGGGTTCTTCAGGAAGCAGTCTGGTACCCTTAGAACGTGGTGGGGAGGGTTTACAGGAACCAGATACTTTGAGTATCAGGAGCTAAGGAGTTGTGATTTTTCCTTTAGGCAGTTGGGAATCTTTAGTTATTGGTGATCAGATTTTCGCTTTAGAAAGCTTTTGTAGGCTACAGTCTGGAGAATGGACCTGATCTAGGCACTAGTCATGGGGATATGGAGTACCTGACTGAGTCAAGAGATACTTAGGGGTGACTGACAGCTGGGGAGTGAGGAAAGGGGTAAAATCGGCTGTCTCAAATTTCTGGGATTCTGGAGATTGCTAAAGTAATACCATAAAGGTTAGTCACTCAGCAAGCACTGTGGTCCACTAGGCACCAGGCCTATCCACAGGAAGGGAGGGGAACCAAGGTCAAAGGCATAAATAATGCTTGATGCTAACAAATAGTGGAGCTGATATGTGCCCCCAAGTAGGCCTGACTGCAAAGCTGGTGCTTGTTCCCTGAAATGCAGGAGCCAGATAGGTCCCTACCATATATCCAAGTTGATGGAGGAGACAAAAATACATTCTTCCTGTAGAATAGGTAAAAATAAAGAAGGAAGTTTTCTGAGGGTCTGTGTGTGAGGCAGTGTTCAAAAGGCCTTAGTCATCTAAAAAATGTCACACCAAAGTCAAATAAGATACAGTCCCAGTATCCTTACAGCAACCCTGGGCAGTGGGCTTTTAGTAAACTTGTTTTCTAGAGAAATTGAGGTGCAGAGAAGTATTTCTAAGGGTAGACTCTAAAACTCTGCTCTTTGTACTATAGTCTAGCAGGTTTTTTAGTGGGAAGGGAGATGTGATGAAATGGCCCTTTGAGACCTAAAAAAAACATGAACATACAGGCAATCCTCAACTGTGATTAAGACCATGGGTGTAAGGTGGATGAGGTCAGGCTCTCCGCCTCTTACTAGCTGTGTGATCTCTAGCAAGTTACATCACCTCTCTGAACCTTCATTTCTTCCTTTTAAAATTTGTTAAAATACCCATTTCATGGGATTGTTGTGAGGATTTAAATGAAGTCAGGTGTCATTGAGTGCTTAGCACAATGCTTGGCCAATAGTAGCTGTTCAG